CTGTAGCCAGTCTAAACTCCAGCAGTTCGCCTACTTGTGCGTCCCAACATAGCTAGGATGCAGGTGTGTAGCCACCACACCCAACCATTGGTTGAGATGTGGTCTTGTAAACTTTTTTGCCCAGGCTGGGCCCTTGAAACTGTGATCCTCCCAGTCTCCACCTCCAAGTAGGTAGGGATTACAGGCACAAGTCACCATTCCCAGCTGTTTTAGTGAATTAATGATAAAATGGCTCAAGTTGAGATTTTAATGACAATGTGGTCAGACTAGAGTAGTAAATCAACAGAACTCTCTTAAAAAAAACTATCTTGCTTAAATTAAGAATGTTAGTTGACAATTATTTCTAAAATCTAAGGAAAGTTTAATTTTTATTTTTTCAGGAAACACAAAGAGGGGCAACTTACATCCATGCCCGAGAGTTTGTAGATCATTTGTGAAAATTATTGCAGAAGTCCTTGGATCTCCTCCAGATTTGGAATTATTGACAATTATCTTCAATTTCCTTTTAGCATTCACCCTCCTACTAATACTTACGTTTGTCACAATCCCACAAAACTTCTACTTTTTCTTTTGCACATAGGTAGGTATAATCACTTTTTGTTGGATCTTAACATTTTCCACTTTTGTTATTATTCCCACTTGATCCACATTTGTTTTATAATTTATTTGGATGATCTCTCTGGGCTAGAAACTACTCTATTTACATACTGGGGTTGAGACAGGCTAGAAATTGGCCTCTACCTCCAGGGAGCTTAAATGCCAAGAGGAGAGAAAGCAGCAATGCACTCAAATAATGATAAAAAAAAAAAAAATCAGGTAAGTACCTAATGGATACAAAAGGCAAACTAATGAGATCTCAGAGAGGGAGTGTTTCATCAGACTTATGGGGAAGAACTTTTAGTAGATTATATGTGTCTATTGTGATCATGAAAGAATTTTAGGTAAATTTTGATAGGTAGATTGGAGAACTAGCATTACAGGCAAAGAGAATGACTTAAAGAGTGGGAAAACTGGAAAGAGAAAGTAAGAGTAATTGACTTTTACCTAAGTACATACATGGGATCTATAAAAATAGTGAGAAAATAATGCCATAAATATAGTTTGAGACCATCATTTATTATTTATTCTCCCCAGGGTTTTAGTAAATGAGTCCTTGAATGTAAGGCCAGAGAATTTGAACTCTGTTTCAGTTAGAGGTCATTAAAAGGGTTTGGTTTTGTCATTTGTTTGTTTTTTGAGCAAAGAAACATGACATAAATAAATTATTGCAATAGGATTCAGGACTAAGAAACTAGGGAACACTAAGACCAATTATAGTAATCTAGAATAGACACAAAATAATAGACTCTGGGCTAGTAACAGTGGAACTGGATAGGTGGAGAAGTGAGAAGCTTAAGATGGAATGACTCTGCAGATGTTAGGGAAGAGGATAATGACTTTGGTTTTATGGTACATGTTGTATTTGAGGTGCCCTGTAATAATGGTCTAGCAGGCAGTTGGAAAGGAGGGTTATAAACATGAGAGAAGCTACAAAAAGCTGCCTACATAGAGTTGAGTTTAATCTCTGAAGAGCAGTATCTAGAAAGAGAAGGAAAGAGGAAGCTAAGAATAGAATTACTGGTAATGTTATTATTTAGAAGGTGCAAAAAACAGACATGAAGACCAGTGGAACAGAATAGAGGATCCAGATATGAAGCCACACAACTATAAGCAACTTATCTTTGACAAAGGAGCTAAAAATATACGATGGAGAAATAGCAGCCTCTTCAACAAAAACTGCTGGGAAAACTGGTTAGCAGTCTGCAAAAAACTGAAACTAGATCCATGTATATCACCCTATACCAAGATTAACTCAAAATGGATCAAGGATCTTAATATCAGACCCCAAACTCTTAAGTTGATACAAGAAAGAGTAGGAAATACTCTGGAGTTAGTAGGTATAGGTAAGGAACTTTCTCAATGAAACCCAGCAGCACAGCAACTAAGAGATAGCATAGATAAATGGGACCTCATAAAACTAAAAAGCTCTGTTCATCAAAAGAAATGGTCTCTAAACTGAAGAGAACACCACAGAGTGGGAGAAAATATTTGCCAACTATACATCAGACAAAGGACTGATAACCAGAATATACAGGGAACTTAAAAAACTAAATTCTCCCAAAACTAATGAACCAATAAAGAAATGGGCATGTGAACTAAACAGAACTTTCTCAAAAGAAGAAATTCAAATGGCCAAAAAACACATGAAAAAATGCTCACCATCTCTAGCAATAAAGGAAATGCAAATTAAAACCACGCTAAGATTCCACCTCACCCCTGTTAGAATAGCCATCATCAGCAACACCACCAACAACAGGTGTTGGCGAGGATGCGGGGAAAAAGGAACCCTCTTACACTGTTGGTGGGAATGTAGACTAGTACAACCACTCTGGAAAAAAATTTGGAGGCTACTTAAAAAGCTAGACATCGATCTACCATTTGATCCAGCAATACCACTCTTGGGGATATACCCAAAAGACTGTTACTCCAGAGGCACCTGCACATCCATGTTTATTGCGGCCCTATTCACAATAGCCAAGTTATGGAAACAGCCAAGATGCCCCAGCACTGACGAATGGATTAAGAAAATGTGGTATCTATACACAATGGAATTTATGCAGCCATGAAGAAGAACGAAATGTTATCATTCGCTGGTAAATGGATGGAATTGGAGAACATCATTCTGAGTGAGGTTAGCCTGGCCAAAAAACCAAAAATCGTATGTTCTCCCTCATATGTGGACATTAGATCAAGGGCAAACACAACAAGGGGATTGGACTATGAGCACATGATAAAAGCGAGAGCACACAAGGGAGGGGTGAGGATAGGTAAGACACCTAAAAAACTAGCTAGCATTTGTTGCCCTTAACGCAGAGAAACTAAAGCAGATACCTTAAAGCAACTGAGGCCAATAGGAAAAGGGGAACAGGTACTAGAGAAAAGGTTAGATCAAAAAGAATTAACCTAGAAGGTAACACACACGCACAGGAAATCAATGTGAGTCAATGCCCTGTATAGCTATCCTTATCTCAACCAGCAAAAACCCTTGTTCCTTCCTATTATTGCTTATACTCTCTCTACAACAAAATTAGAGATAAGGCAAAATAGTTTCTGCTGGGTATTGAGGGGGGAGGGGAGGGGTGGAGGGGTGGTAAGGGAGGGGGTGGGGGCAGGGGGAGAAATAAACCAAGCCTTGTATGCACAATGAATATAAAGAAAAATGAAAAAAAAAAAAAAAAAAAGAAGGTGCAACAAGAAGAGGAATCAGTAAAAGAGAAATATAATGTGGCAAGAAAGCAAGCAAAAGTGAACCTATGAGAAAGCTAGGTAAGCTAGTAAGTCTAAAGTGGAAAACTGGTTTATGACAGACATTTTAAGAAATGGAATAAGTGAACAAAATGATTGAGCATCACTAAAAGTCCAGATAAAATTAGATGGCCATGACTTCCTGTTAGGGTCAGCACACTTAAGTGGGCAAAGTACTCTGCAGCATCTGAAGCAGGGTAATTACAAATACAAGAAAAATACGGTTCCCTCCCTTAAGAGGCCTATAGCCCAGTAGAGGGAGAGAAACATAAACAGGTAGTTGCACCACACTGGTGGAAAGAAAGCACAGTGTTGTGGAAGTCAGTGTTTTTATTTTCTGGTGGCACCAGAGCATGGTGAGGCCTGAGGGTATATTTTCTGGAGGAGATGCTCTCTGCTCAAAGGGAAGGGCCTCCAGGCAAAGGCAGGGGCTTGACTCAGAAGTTGGTGTTGCTGAAATGTAGTGTAAGAAACAAGACTGAAAGGTGCCCTGGGCACAGATCATGGAGATTCTTAGACAAAAAGCTTGCCCTTTAATCTAAGGTGTTAAGAAGCAGCAGAAAGCCCCTGGAAGGTTTTTAAGCCAGAGATACATTTAACAGAGAGAATTCTGGTAGCTGTAAAGATTTGAAGGTGACAAGATGTCTACCAGGATGCCATTTAGAAATCTGTGACAGTAATACAGGGGGGAGATGATCAAGCCCTTATTATCACACCATGTTAGAGGGGAGAAGAATTCCAGAAGGTGGAAGGAAAGTCAGTAGACCCTGATGACTTACTTGAAATGAAGGGAAGCTGGTGTCCAGGACAACTCCATTCTCTATGTGGATGAATAGTACTTCTACTAAACTAGCCACAGAATAAACAGGAGGAGTAAAGTGAGAGCACAAAGTTATTGTGCTTATGGTCCAAGTAAGAAATCAATGTAAGCCAGGCACTGGGTGGGTCACACCAGTAATCCTAGCTACTAGGGAGGCTGAAATCAAGAGGACTGAGGTTCAAAGCCAGCCAGGTGAGACCCTATCTCCAAAGTAACCAGAACAAAATGGGCTGGAGGTATGGCTCAAGTGGTAAAGCACCTGCTTTGCCAGAGTAAAGCCATGAGTTCAAACCCCAGGCCCTCCAATAAATAAATAATAGGGAAAGAAAAAAGAAATGAATGTGGTGAATTTCTAAGGAAGCTCAGAAAGAAAAGTGTGGCAGTCACAATCTTGCACTGAGGGTGTAATAGCAATACTCTCCTTTCCTCAAGAATAAATAGATAAGTATTCTCTTTGAAGAGATCAGAATAGTATATAAAAAGGATTTAACAGTAAAAGTTAAATCACAGAAATAACTGTAAATACAGTTGGAATTAAAAGAAAGTAGAAGTTATTGTGGCCAGCAATAATTCCACAAGATCTGTAGTAAGAAAATGTAGCATGCCAAGTGTGCAGTAGTAGAAGCATGTCATAATTGTTCTCTTTGAACATCTTTTTGTCAAAATATAATTTATTTAATGATTTGCTTTTAAAGTTGTATTTTTATTTCATCTATTCTAGATGGCAAGATCTTTCAGGAGAAAGTACAGTCAATCATGTATCTGCGACATTCCAGCAGTGGGGAAAATCCCTCCCTGGCCCTGGATTTATGTAATAAGCCCGTCTGGTTTTACTGCTTCACCTCCTGAAGGTAACAGTAGCAATAATGAAAATACAAGACTTCCCATTTTAGTTTTCAATATTCATTGATAATTAAATTGTGCATGTTTTAGGCAATATAGTGTAGCCTGATATCCAGACTAAACAAATGGAAGATTAAACTTAAAATAATAGAATATGTTTAAAGAATCCATTTTTACACCTTCTGCTATTCTGACTTACCTTATTTAAGGAGGGTATCCAGCACAAGTCCTCCGGAAAACTCAGAAAATGGATGGGGCTCATGCTACTTGCTATAACATTCTCTGTCATTTCTTACAATCATTTGTCTTTCAGGAGGCTTCTGGTTTATTTACCCATTTTCTTCAAAAGCACATTTTTTTTTATTCATATGTGCATACAAGGCTTGGGTCATTTCTCCCCCTGCCCCCACCCCTCCCTTACCCCACCCCCCCCCTCCTCTCCCCCCCACCCCCTCAATACCCAGCAGAAACTATTTTGCCCTTATTCTAATTTTGTTGTAGAGAGAGTATAAGCAATAATAGGAAGGAACAAGGGTTTTTGCTGGTTGAGATAAGGATAGCTATACAGGGAGTTGACTCACATTAATTTCCTGTGCGTGTGTGTTACCTTCTAGGTTAATTCTTTTTGATCTAACCTTTTCTCTAGTTCCTGGTCCCCTTTTCCTATTGGCCTCAGTTGCTTTTAAGGTATCTGCTTTAGTTTCTCTGCGTTAAGGGCAACAAATGCTAGCTATTTTTTAGGTGTCTTACCTATCCTCACCCCTCCCTTGTGTGCTCTGCTTTTATCATGTGCTCAAAGTCCGATCCCCTTGTTGTGTTTGCCCTTGATCTAATGTCCGCATATTAGGGAGAACATACGATTTTTGGTCTTTTGGGCCAGGCTAACCTCACTCAGAATGATGTTCTCCAATTCCATCCATTTACCAGCGAATGATAACATTTCGTTCTTCTTCATGGCTGCATAAAATTCCATTGTGTATAGATACCACATTTTCTTAATCCATTCGTCAGTGGTGGGGCATCTTGGCTGTTTCCATAACTTGGCTATTGTGAATAGTGCCGCAATAAACATGGGTGTGCAGTGCCTCTGGAGTAACCTCAAAAGCACATTTTTTTTGGTCATACTCTCTTCTTTTTCCTAAGCCCTCATTCCAGACAGCTTCACTTGCCAAAAGTATAGCAGTGCTCCGGCCTCACATTGCTTGACTCAGGGGACCTTCCCCTGTCCTTGACCAGCCTGTCTGCAGGCATCTGTTATGGACCTGAGCATCATCAAGAGGCTTCCAGGCAGCTCTGAAACCCCAGTGTTCTAGTCTGTTCTGCCAAAATGACCAGTTCGTAAATAACCTGTGTCACTCTGAACATTCTAAATACAATCACACCTCTGTTCTCGGGTCTTTTGACTAGAGCCTTTTGGCAGCTTTGCCCTCCTGGCAACCAGAAACAGAATCCTCTGGAGAGTTCTGGTAGACTGAAGAAGCCAAGAAGAGGCACTGACCCTTTCTGATCCATGCTGTAACAATCCCCCATCTTTCTGGTTTCTTTATCACCGGCCCTTGTTCCCTTTGCCTTGCTGTGCCTACCCAGCATATATCCCATTAACCAGTAACTTCACCAGTTTCTTGATACTTGTCTTCAGTTTCTTGCTCCCTTGGCCAACACCCAGGTTGGTGTTGACCTGGAAAGCCCTGTCCTGGACCCAAATACCCACCCTCACCTGCTGAAAGCTGCAGCTGGCTTTTAATGCTGTCCCATCATTTTTCCCAATGTTCAGAATCAGTTCCATCTTCTGTTTCTATATAACATAGTCAAATCTTTAAAGCCTATAGCACTTTTCTGTCTTCCTAACTACTCTTACAGACTGCTTCATCTCTGCTTTCATAGGAAAAAAAAAATAGGTGCAGGTTTCCTAGTTGTGAACTGGCTTTCATCTTTTCTCTTTTCTGATGGCCTCCTCTTCCTTGCTGCAGCATGGCTTTTATTATCCATCCAATCTAGTCTTCTGTAGCTCCAGTACAATTAAGTAGTGGAGATTAAGGTAGAAGTATTGAAAAATAGGGACAGATATATGGGTATTAGTCTCTAATTGTGTTTACCTCCTAAAGTGTTTCACTTACCCTCTAGCACATTTTTGTGATCTTTTACTGTAATGCTTTAACGGTTATGTTTTAATTAGTTTTATTTGGGATTTATAGGAATGTCTATTTTTTAATTACATGTCACTCGTACATTTTCAAATACAACCATTCCCCCATTTTTACTACGTTATTTGAACAGAATCCTTGGCAGCTTTAGCTCTCCAGCCAACATCAAGAAATAACTTGGGCTGTGGGGCCCATGCTGTGAAGCAGTTCATTTAGTGCCTGTTTACTCTGCATCACACTTCTGACACTTTAACATTAGTAAAACACCTGAAAACTTTGTAAAATGTGGATTTCCGGTGCTTCCCCCTGCATTTTGGATCAGTAGGTATAGGCCTGCCTGGAAATGTGAACTCCTAGCCATTGCACAAGCTGTCCACCGAGCACACAAGCACACCTTGAGGAGCACATACTATTGACCTGAGCTCTCTGTGAAAGGGATTTTTCTGGTCTCCTGTGTGGAATGTGAGAAGCAATAAATGAGAGAGCCATAAAGAAGAGAGAAGACTATTGTTTTTCATTAAGAATAGCAAGAAGTGACTACAGAAATGGAGAAGAGAGAATAGTCTAGGGCCATTTGATCTAATCATAAGTACCACCTTTTATTAAGCACCTGTTACATGCCAGGTGCTATGCTAGTGCATCACAAATATAATCTCTCTTCATCCTTAAAGGAACCGTGCAAGGTAGACATTCAGAATCCTCATTTTGCATTTGCAGAGTCTACTGCTATTATGGTATAATTGCGTGATTTACCTAAGGGCATCAAACTAATGACCTTGAATCCAGTCGTGACTAGTTGCAAAGCATGATCTTACTGCTTTGTCACAATGCATTCTATGACTGCTGCCTGAGTCAATTAAGATAATCTTAATTCACTTAATTTCACTGTAGCAAACCATTAATCCCAACGACTTTGAATCATGCCATCAGTACTGTATTTTGTTAAGGAAATAGAAAAACACATATGTTTTTGGAGAATTTTAATTAAAAGGGGTTAAAAGAAAAATAGCTTTGGCATTTAAGAATGTTAATGGTTTTTTATTAAAATTAACCTGCATGGATTCTGTCATAGTGGTAGGTGGGTAGGCTATTGCCATGGCTGTGACTTACACTGCAGAAGAGAAGTATCCCATTTAGTACATTTTTTGACAGTACTGAGCTTTGATTCAGAACTTCATGCTTGCTAGGCAGGTGCCCTACCATTTGAGCTATGCCTCTGGCCCTGATACATGTTTAAGTAATATTTTTGTGTCTACCCTTACTAGGAAATGATTCCTCCAATACTGTTCCTCAGCAGATGGCTGCCCACATACTGCGTTCTAGAAGCCTACCAACATTTCCTACCTCTTCATCACTAATGCAGCCACGAAAACTGACTAGAAGTCTGGACTGTAGTATTGACAAGTTAGAAAACACTGTAGAGCCTTACCTTGCTACCCAGCCAGAGAAACAGAATCCTTTGGGGAGTTTTATCACGCTAAAAACTGGCAAAGAGGATGCGTTCATCAGTAGCTGTGAGTCTGCAAAAACTGCGTGTGAAGAGGAAGCTGTTCTCATGGCCCAAGCTTCTGTCAGTGGTGTCCCCAAAGGAACCCTGGGGTTTCCCGTGGCCAAAGTAGATCATCAAGACTTGGGAACAGAACCCAGATCAGATGATGACAGTCCTGGCAACGAGTTCTGTCCCCGCCGACCTGATAACCTGAAGGGGCTGGCCTCCATCCAGCAAAGCCACAGCATGATTGCAAGTCTTGGGCTAGCTTTTCCTTCGCAGAACGGGTCTGCAGCCGTCGGCCGGTGGCCGAGTCTTGTTGATAGGAACACTGATGTTTGGGAAAACTTTGCCTTTTCTCTTGGCTATGAGCCAAACTACAACCGAACTGCAAGTGCTCACAGGTACTCACGTGGTGTTGTGTGCACCTCTCCCCCCAGTTTTCAAATATTCTTTGAAGAATCTCTGAACTTCTAGAAGTATCATTATGCCACTGCTTACAGTACAGAAAGATGCCTTTCTCCTCTTTCAATATTAGATGGTACTGAAGTCCATATTCTCTTGTGGCTTATCTCATTCCTTTTAGTTATTAGATAAAAATTCTTTAGTTCAGAGAACATGATCAGATAAATCCCTGTCCCCAGTGACATCCCAAGGGACACCACCAGTGACCCTTTCTGTGTTTTGGAGATGCCTTCTCCTGTGCTGTCCCATGCAGTGGACAGCAGCTACCTGCCTGCTGAGCTCTTGAAACGTGGCCAGTGCAGCTGAGGAACTGGATTCTCAATAGTTTCAATAGCATAAGTGCAAGGGACTATTGCCTTAGACATGTAGATACAGAATAGAATAGTGTTTAGTATGGTACATAGCTAAAAAACATCCTTGATAAAAAGTGATGGTAAAGTTTGTTAATCACATCTAAATTAGGAACCATTTCTTACAACCTATATTCACAGTTTCTAAGTAATCTTCATGTGTTTTCTCCCTGATTTACTATGTTAGTAACACTCTCCTGGTCTCCATCTATAGTGCAACTGAAGAATGCTTGGTACCTATATGCTGTGGATTATATGAACTTTAAGTGGAGTCCCTCCTCATCCTGCCTGATGTTATGCTTGAAGATGTGATAGGACAAACTTATTCAAGCAGATACACTCTTAGTCCTTGTGAACCAACCCATCACCCTCTATACAGCAAGGAGTGATTAAAGTAAGGTTGTTTTAATCAGGAAAATATACATGTAATTTAAGATTCAAAAGTACACTTAAAGCTTTACTTTATACTTAGGAATAATGAACTATATAGTTTATTTCTTTTTTCTTTTCTTTTTTTTTTTTTTGTGGTACTGAGCTTGAACTCAGGATCTTCACCTTGAGCCACTCCACAGCCCTATTTTTGTGAATGGTTCTGACTTTGAACTGCAGTCCTCCTGGTCTCTGCCTGAGTAGCTAGGATTTCAGGTGTAAGCCACCACTCCTGGCTAGTTTTGTATTTCTTACTGATACTTTGTATGTATTATCTAATTTTAATTCCTCTGTATATTGATTCTATCAGTGTGTTTTAAATTTACCAATAAATGCATATATCTGAACTTTTAGTCTGTTTTGCAAAAATTTGTAAGAAACATATTAGTGATTGAAATTCTCTCTTGTAATGTATCAAATTTTAGATATCTACTTCAGGTCTCAGCTCAGTTGTCACCTTATCAGGAGGCCATCCCTGATCACCTTATCAAAATTATTTCTCTTTAGTCCTACTCCTTATTTATTTTATCATAGCATCCTATTTATGTGTTACAGTTATCTTTTTAATCTGTCTGCACACTTGTTTTTTTAATCTCCCATATGGATATAAACTCTATGAAAGTGGACATCTTATGTCTAGTGTATATAATAAACTCAACATAAGTTTATGTTGAAGTGTATAGATAATGTCCTAAGATCTAAGTTTGGGAAAAAATGAAGAAGGTTCTGGAAAGAAAAAGAATTAATTGAGTTTTACACATGTTGCATTTCAGAAGCTAAAGATGGTAGAAATTCAGGCTGTGCCTCAGAATAAATGATCTCTTAATAAGTCTAGAAATGGAAGTCCAGACAGGACACTGCATTGATTATTTCCTTACGAATTAAGCAAAATAGGCCACTTATCCTTCAGCTGAGACTGCCGTCTCCACCTGTCTTTGCTTAGCTGAAAATGCCAGTTTCCACATCACGGAAGTATTAGGATCTCCAAGATAGTCATTGTTAGAATTCCACAGTATTAAGAGATTACTATCACTAAATATATATATGACTTAATAGACAAATACAAATATAAAAACTTACAAATACTGTGCTTTGTATAGATTATGTTAAAAATTTAATACATGGTCTAAATAGTCTCACCTTTTT